TTACTTCTTTTTTTTTTTTTTTAACTTTTAAAAACAAATTAATGCATCTCATCTGAAAGGGAGAAAGAGAGACACACTGAATGACTATCCTCTGGTTTGATACCCAAAAAAGAGTTAACTTTGATTACATCTGACGTGGGAATAAATTCATGGAATGGGGATGAAAGTTACTTTTTACTTTATACTGTTCTCTAGCATTTAAAATTTTTCCATGAGCATGTCTTACTTTTATAATAAAAGAGAAACGCATGTCTTCTTCTCCACGTCATCTCCACTTGTTTTGGGACAGGCATATCTTCTCTCACTTGTGATAACCTTTCTGTAACAGCTCCTAACAAAAGAGTTTCCATTACAGAGTGTATGTGAGGCAGAGTGCCAGACTCTCTAAATATCTTCCTTTTACACACTACAATTCTAGGGGTAGGTACTACCACCGTCTTTTGACAGATGAGGAAATTGAGCCTCAGAGAGATTAAATTGCTCAAGGTCACAAAGTTCACAGGTGGCAGAGCCAGGATTGGAATCCAGGCAGAACCCGCAATGGTCTCCTAACTGGATTCACTACCACCATTCTCTGCTGCCAGTTATCTTTACATAAGATGGAATCTCATCACTCCTTTGCTTAAAATCTAGGGCACTCCCACCCCACCCCCTTCATTGGCCTGAGAACATAACCTATGCTTCTTAACATGTCACTTCTAAGTCCAGTTTACAATGCATTTATTCATGTACTCGTTATAAATCAACAAATAATGGCAAGCCCCAACAATTGTTTCAAAGCAATTTTATATATAATCTTACAATAACCATGTGACATAAGTAGCTGAGCAAACAGTTTTAAGCAGTTTGAATGACTTATCAAGAGACAAAACAACATAACTTGACTTTCCTTCCTTGTTCTCTCAGGACTCTGAGCTTCATACTATGTTTAAAGCATGTCAAGTTTCTTCATTCTTCTCTAATTCTGCAGCTCTGTTTCTTCTGCTGGATATGCCCTTCACCCTGCCTGGTGAACACATACAAATGCAGATTTCTATGGCTCAACCAACCCATCTTTCTTTGGGCTCCCTTAACAACCTCTTACTACCCTGCATTATAGCACTGACTACATTAGATTAGATGCTATGCTTGCTTGACTCACTTTTACAGTAGACCGTGACCTTCTCTAGAACAGATATTATGGGTTGTGAACATGGCCTGAGTTAGGAAGCTAGGATGAACTAGTGATGGGGGATGAAATAGATGAAGAAAGACATGAATAATGGCAAAGGTGTGTTTCTACTGCTTCCAGAATTCATGAAAAACTGAACTAATACTTATTAAGAATGAGGCATGGTACTAGGGACAGAGATAAATGGTCGTGTGTGTATGTGTGAGCATGTGTGTGTGTATGAGTGCGTGTGTGTGTGTGTGTTTGTGGAGAGAGACAGTAGGGATATATATATAGTGGGCATATGTATATAGTTTCTCTCTATATAATGTTTATATATATAGCGTGTGTATATATAACTCATACACATAATACATGTTTAGTGTGTATAAAATGTGTTTGTACATATGTACTGTATATACATGTATAGCATATGTGCATACATACACATACAGTGTACACACACATGCCTGTGTACATATAGTGTGTGGACATATATTTTGTGTGTGGTATGTACATAAATAGCATATAGAGTACATGCATACATACTGGATATATGCACATATGCATGGCATGTGTGCATATAATTTGAGTGTGTGTACTAGAATGCAATGCAAGCAGAGATGTAGAGGTATACTTGAATATGATACAAAAAACATTCATTACACAGTGTGTGTGTGTGTGTATATATATATATATATATATAAATAGTAGAACCTTGAGGCTTGCCTCCCTGCTCAGGGGAGAGAGGAGCCCCCGAAGGAAAAAGAAAAAGCTAGAGAATTAGGAAGGAAAACAATTTAGAGAAATCTCACTAAAACCAAGCAAGAACCATACTCTAAGAGGCTGGGTAGCTAAAACAAATGCATTTTTAAAAGCCTAGCAGGTGGAAAAGCAAGGGGAAAATATATATGTAAATGACCTGATAATTAGGAAGATGGCAGTGAACAGGGGGAGAAAGTTTCAGGAAGAGGTAGGGTGAGATGACTCAACGTGAGGAAGTAGAGTCAGACACACACAGACTCTCTCTTTCCAACACTTTGGCCTTGAAAGGATGAGAAGAGAAGCAGCTTTGATGGAAGCAGAATCAAAACCTCAGCTTTCTTTGGTTCCCTGTAAGACGGAGAGTTAAAACAAGTTTACGAACAGGAGGCTACGGCCCTGAACTGCAGTCCCGGTATTCATGTCGAGAAGCATCCACCAGCCAACGTGGCCAAGACCTCCAACCCATCTAGCAGTGCACACAAAATAGCTCGAAATCTCTCACGACGACTCTATAAGGTGGGTTCTATGATTTTACAGGCAAGGAAGCCAAGACACAGAGAGGTTAAATAATTTGTCCAGTGTCATTCAGCTCTTAAGTTCCAGAGTCATGTTTCCCCTCAGGCAATCTGCCTTCAGAATGTGTGCTCTTAGCAGATGTGCAGTGAGGGAACATAGGGCCCTGACCTGCCTCATACTTTCCCAAGTTCCGCTTAGACCAGCCGAGGCTTACTTCCCCTGGTTTTCTCTCCCAAAGACAGCCACATCAAAGTAGTGTGCCAGGGGCAGTGGCTGAGGGGAAATAATGGAGGGAGGCCATTTGTTGGTGTTGCAGAGTTTGTATCTTTCTAGCAGTTGTGAAAATTATCATAAGCATCATCAGAGGAGAGGTATAGATATATACTACAAGACCTAAGTTTGAGAACTAGCTCCACCTTCTAGTATTTTATAATATGCATCGCATGTTACTCAACCTGTGAAGGTACCAATTCTCCATCTGTAACACGAGATGATAAAAATAATAAAATTTTAAAAAATAATAGCAACTATCCTACATCCTTTAGAGTATTGTATAAGGAGCAGGTGAAACATTGTGTGTTGAAAGCACATGCATATGTGAACTATTTCATTATTATTATTATAAATTATTATTATTATCAGTCTTTCAAACTATCTGAGAAATTGCTCATTCTGTCTACTCCCCCACTTCCACTTCCCAAGGTATTAAGAACTAATAAGACATTGGATTTTGAGAAAGTCTTTCTAAATCCAAATAATTTCCATGTGTACAATTTGCTCCAAATGCAAAATTTCCTCATACAGGGAGGCAATATAACACATTTTTAAAATTCTCAGAAACTGAGCTGTGATCAGTTGCCATTAACCAAGATTTGCAGGCAGATTTGGGGTGCCTGGAGCTGCTTGTTGTATCAAATTCCACACCTACCTGTTCATTCTTCTCTTCTTTCTCCACTCAGCAAGTTAATCATATTAATATCCTATCTACAATGCAGCATGTCCTCTTTACATCTCACAACCTGTTTTTGTGGATTTCACTTTTATACATCAATATAATCTTTAAGTCACAGAATGGTCTTGCTGCAGACAGAAGAGGAAGTAGCTTTAGCGAAGAAGCCAAGAGAACACACGGATTGGGAGGGAAGATGAGAAAATGCCTGGGAGCAGCTAGGTATTCCGAGTGCATTTTCCCAAAGATCTGAAGGCAGGGGTCTCATGTGGCAGACCGTTGCGACCAGGTCTTTAGATGGATTTTTCATCTTTAAACAAGATAGTTTGGTTCATATATAGTAAGCCTAGAATTACATGCAAAGCTGCTATTCTTTATATTTTACCAGCTAAATTGTCTTGATTTTTAACTTCACCATATCTAAATACATTCCAAAGATAAAATTAAAACAATTAGGCAGCAGCTGGATGGGGTACATGATGGGTGACAGGTGTGTGGTCAGTAATAGAGACATTTATTATCACAAGTAATCTTCAAGAACATCTGAGACACAATCTCCTTTTACAGATGAGGAACCAGGGGTCTAGTGTTAAATTTCACTTTTTTTTTTCTTTGAGAAAGGGGTATGCAGTCAGCATGTTTGTCTTCAGAAAAGTGAATATACCAAAACCTGAAATTGCAGAGGTGATGTGTATAATGGTCATTTACACTAAATGACTTCATGAAAAGGGAGGATACTCAGAACCCCTTTCTATCCGTCCCTCTGCACACACTTGATTCACCAGTTTTGCAAAGCAAGGCACTCCAGAAATTCTATTCATCCCCCAACACCACCCTCCCCCACTCCAAAAAATAATCAAATCGTTGCTAATCTCTCTAATTGTTAATCTCTCTAAAACTTTACAAGGTAATTCTTTCAGTTGCCTGTTATGCAAAATCAGCTGAATCCTGACAGAAGAATAGTATTTTTTCCTCTGCGAAATCTCCAGAACAAAACAGTCAAACAGACCTCTTCTCCCACCCCCTTCTCTACTACCCCACACGGAAAAACCCCCAGCACCACCGGATAGGGCTGATGGAGGCTCTGAATGATACCTGCCATCCCAGCTCCCTCCTCCTGGTTTAGTTTTTGGCAGTGAAAATGCCAGTGAAACAGGAGCCAATACTTGTTTGGTTTATGTTGTTTTTTTGTTTGTTTGTTTAAGCACAAATAACATTTCTTTCAATATCAATATACAGTTTTACAAAAAAAAAAAATAGAAAAAAATACAATAATCTTAGTCACTGTCCAGCAGGAACACATTTCATTGTTTATAGAGTCAGAGATCTTCATAAAAAAATATGTTCTTTTAGGAAATTTCCTGTCTTTCAAACAAATCCTTTAAGAGATGATTTAAATGTGCCAGTGATGAGCACCTACTTTACATCCAGGAACCAAGGATATAGAAGTGAGCTGGAATTCTACACCAAGAATACAATTGTTGATATACAAAAATTGTATAAATTACTTTATCAGATTGCAAAAATACATCAGATTTTATCTATAAATTTCCATTAGGTAATAAATTACTTACTAAAAAAATAAAAATTTTAAAAGCTCAGGTGTGTTTCTCCTGATTCAAGTGTGAAACGCACGACAGTCCTGAGTCTGAGGGCACCCATCACTCCTGCAGCCACACCACCAAACCCGGAGGAGTGCGTGCTTACTTGGTGTGAGCAGACCGCAGAGTTCCCAATATTTTGTCCCAGTGTGTGAAGTAAGGGGCGAAGTTGCAGTTAAACGTAGAGTGATGCAAGTCGTGGTGCGCCACGCCCCCGTACCACCCGAAAGGTACCAGTCTGTGCGTGGACCAGGGAAAGTCATAGCCCGAGTGGTCCTCCACCGACAGCCACATGTTGACCACGTGGAAGACCAGGACGGTGAGCGGGTGGCACTCCAGCAGCGTGACGTTCATCATGTCAAAGAAGCCCAAGGAAAACAGTTCCCAGATGCTCATGTACTGCGTGGCCAGCGCAAACGAGGACGAGTTCTGGTGGTGCATCTTGTGGAACGACCGGTACAGCCAGGGCACCTTGTGGTGCAGCACATGCCACACGAAGAACTCGGTGTCGAAGAGCAGTAGGCAGAACACGACGTGGCACACCAGCTGGAACAGCTCGGGGGCTTCGTGGGGCAGGAAGGTCGGGCAGCGGGACCAGTGCAGCAGCGTCACAGGGAACACGAATATCAGGTGCTGGTAGAGCGTCTGCCCCAGGCAGGGCAACAGCTGCCGCGTGGTCGGCAAGAAGTCGGGGTGGATCTTGTAGCGCCGCAGCGCAGGCACCCAGGGGCACAGGACGTCCAGCACCACAAAGGGCAGGCAGAAGCCCACGTATGTGATGATGGAGAAGATGGCCGGGAAGAAGGGCGACTGAATGAGGGCTTCCCAGGTCCTCAGGTGGTCCCAGAGGGGCTGCAGGAACAGCTGGCTCGCACTACAAAGGATGTGTAGCTCCGAGGTGTTGCGGCCGCTCATGGTGAGGCTGTGCCTGGCAGCTAGCTGCTGCAGCTCGGGTCTCACAGCCTTTTCTTAGGACTTGGGCCCCTCCCCGACTGACGTCAGCCGCCTTTTCGCTCCCTTTCCCGGCTGCGCTGAGCTTGCATAAATAAATAACCCCACAGAATGGCTCCTAGATGCTAAATACATGTCTGCAGTTGCATTTAATCGCCTTTTGTATACGCGATATACTATAGCACTTTGTCACTTTCAATATGCATGAAGAATTATGTTGTTTTTAAAAACTGACATACAATTTACAAACCATACAATGCATACATCTTTAGTGTAGTTTCTACGAGTTTTAACAAGTCATTTAATCTGTCATCACCACCGTCAAACAAGATAGGAAACATTTCCATCACCGCCAGAAAGAGCGAGCTCCTTTGCAATCAATGTAGAATTACTTGTCTTTTTTAATGCATATGTATAATTGCGTCTATGTGTTTTCATAAAGACACAAGTATAACTGCATTTTTAAAAACTTTTTAAAGTGACATACCTTCCGTTTTTCTGATCTTACTCTGTCTGCACACTCTGTATCGACCTAACCAGCGCCGAGCGCTTACTAACCTTTCTCAGAGGGAACCACGGAGCCCCCTGGCTGTGCGCGGTGGAGATCAGCGCAGGAAATCAGACCAGACCGGGTGGCGGCACCTGCACTTCCTTCAGTTCTAGTCTCGGGAGAGGATCTCTACCCTCTGGCTCCAGGCAGACTCCAGATCTCACCGCACGCAGACTCTTCCACAGCAGCCCGCAAATCCGAAACGCCGGGTGTTTCCCCTCCGCTGCGCGTCCAGAACGCGCACATCAGCTACGGAAAGGGGGAGACACCGCGGCAAGAGGGGACCGCGACTATTAGGCTTCGCTTTACAAAAAAAAGAAAAGAAAAAGAAAAAGAAAGAAAACAAAAAAGAAAGAAAAGTGCTGGGTTTCCATTCAGAGCCTGCCCAGATCTGGCTGAAAAGACGCGGCATCTCACTGTGGGGTGGAAGCAAAGAAATCTGTAAAGCAGCTGCTTAGTTCTTCGAGGGAATGTTCGGATGTTCCTGAAGCCTCACGGAGCTGTTGTTTGAGCAGATAATGTCGCGCCTACCTTGCCCTTCCCTGGGCTGGCTTCGCGGCACCAACTTGCTCCTGGTCCTTGCAGCCTATCCCCTCAAACCATCCCAGGTGTAGATCGGGACTGCGAGGCCGACCCCGTCCCTGCCTGCGTCTCTGCCATTAAACCCGGGTTGACTGGCCCAGGGACTGAACGTGAGGAGGTTGGTACTAGGAGAGCTCTGAGGAGATCCCAAGACCAGCAATAATCAAACAAACCAAAATAAACAACCCCCGCGTTTGACCTGCGTCGCTGAAGTGCAACACAGGACAGAAGTTTCAGACAAAAACTTTGAAGCCAGAGACCACTCCTTATCCTAGCTTTAAGGCCTTCTGTGTGTATAAGGTTGGAGCCTCGTGCTTCACTCCTCCAAGCTTTGCATTTTCATATCCACTCTTACTCCAGGGAAATAATAATAGTAGTTATCAAACGAGTCTATTTTGAGCATTAAATAGGAAAATAATAATATTAATGATAAGGCTACCATGTAATGCCTGCGAGGCGTTAGCTGAATGTTTTACCTGAAACAATTTCACCCAATCCTTAGAAGAGCTGTGTTCCCCAGCTGCCAAGAAGTAGGTGTTATTATTATCGCTGTGGTCTTACAGAAGTAAGAGCATAGTGCCTAGCACACAGTAAATGTACAAAAGAAGACATATTATTTTAAATTTACACTCCACATTTTACCTAAAGAATAATTGAGGAAGTTTGTAATTAAAATCAAATAAAATTATGCAAAAAGAGATAAAAGATATGAAGCCATATATCATGAGGAAAGAATAAGTACAACAAAAATATAGACCGATATATGGGGCTAGAAATATAATAATATATAGAATATGTACACATCCTAATACATGTATCTATATATCATACATATGTATAAAGGCCAATTCATACTATATAATAATACATTAATATATAACATAAAATATATATGGGATATATAGGGTGTTATATACTTACATACATACACACGCATACACACATACATAAACACACAAACCTATAACAGAACAGTTCATAATTCAGAACTTCTCAACTGGTGTGTGTCCCTGAGCTGCCACGGATGTAATATGGATATTCCTTGGATGCCCATTCTCTGGAGCTGCAAGCCTTTGGTCCTACCAAAACCTTTTTAAAAAGAAAAAAAGAAAAGCTTAGTGTGCCACAAGATTTTGATGTTCTGCTTGTGTCTCAATGAGATAAAGTTTCAGAAATACTTTGAGCTTCTTGATAGCCAATGCAAAAAAAAGAAAGAAGGTAGATTTTCTGTCTTGGTTATCTAGACGGTAAGCAGAGACAGGTGCAATGCAGGCCTTTGGCCTCACTGCTGGTGAGTTTCTTCCAGTTAGACAACCTGTCTTTTCTAGGCTGCTATTTAATCTTCCCCTCTTCCAGTGCTCTTTCCATTTCACGTTTAGTGCAACCCAGGAACTTCTTTCTTCCCCATTCCTGACAGACATTACCCTGCCCTTGAACTTTGTATGGCTCAAGCAGCACCTCAGAGAAAAGAGGAAGGGCTTCTTCTCCATTGCTCTTTCATTTTATGAATTTAAAAAAAAAAAAAAGATTTATTTGAGAATTATTTATACCACACTATCAAAGGTTTTCACATACCATTTACTAAGCCTTCATTCTTGGGCTCCTCAGTGCTCCAAAGGAAACATCAAAGCTCACTCTCTCAGACTTACAAATGAATTCTGTTCAGAAGTAAAATATCTCTCAGATTTGACCTCAACAGAAATTAATTCAAACTTTAAATTTCCATTTAGCACATGCTGTCCTTTTCTTGTGATTTCAGCTATCATGCTTGGATGCTTTGGGTGCTTTCACAGATCTTTTAAGTGGGTGGCACTGGCAGGTTTGCTCATTTTGGACTTAGCTGTTAGACTGCTGTCAGGACTATGTCCTTCGAGCCACCAGCCCCAATCAACCCATTTTTTTCTTCTATGGTTCTTCCATCCTCTATTACTAAGCTTGTTAGAGTATTCCACATAAAGCCCTGTGCGGCAAGACCTGGAAGCCATGGCTTCAGCTTGCCTGGCCCAGGCTCTCGCCTCTTACTCGTAGCCACCAGCTTCTCTGCCTTTCTAACCCATGCAGCCACCCAGGGCAAAAGTTTGTGTTCAATATACAAGTGCAACTATCTCAAGGGAAGTGGTCACTTAAAATCTTATCACTTGTTCACTCTATGTCATGGAAAAGTGGGCACAAGTTGTTGGGTGGCTAAAACCAGCATCAATAAATGGACACAGATATAATTGAACCCTGTGTAGTCTTGACTAAAGTGGTGTCATTTCTGGAATTGGCAAATGTGCACCTTTAAACACTTTTAATTTACACAAAATTTATTTAACGGCTTACTAGATGAATAGGTCATTTTAGGGCACAGCGTTTATCTTTTAAAAATTTCCCCCCGCAGTGCCAAGCATTGTACCTGGCATGTAATGAGTGTTCGAGAGATGTTTGTGGGCTCAGTGTACCTTTTATAAGATATTGGCTCTAAATCGAGGCTTAAAAAAATCGAATCTTTTTCTTTTCTTAAGCACTGGTTATGTAGTTTAGGTCTACTTATCCACTAGGATGGTTTTCAAAAAAGGGAGCATTTACTGATTTCTGATGGTGTTAGGACTTTGGCCACACTATTTCTTATGCTTCTCCAGTTGATTTTGACTTCTTGTGTATCATTTTTATCTTGGCATGGTCTTTCTGACAAGGAAAGAGGACAAGAATACTTTCTTCTCTAGCCATCCCAGAGATTAGATCCATCTCTCGAGAGTAAAAAACCAAGTGTATGCATGTTTAACACAATCTCAAAGTTATTTGGTTTCTACTCACCAAAAGACTTTGAATACTGCCCCTCCCCTTAAAAAAAAAAAAAGAGAACATTTAGCTGGCAGAGCCCTTTACCTATGACATAATCTCTTTTTCTGTGTGACCTTTATGACTGTTTCTTTCCAATATTAGGTAAGACTGTCTTAGCATCTACCTAAATGAAATGATCATTACTGGAAATGATCATGTAACATCTTACAACTGTAACAGGTAATAGTCACAGAGAGTGAAGTAACCTCAAAGATCAAACTCTAATCTCTCATTGTAAAGATGAAGACTCAGCCTCAGAAAAGTCAAGACTAATTAGGGTTAAATAGCAAAGCCAAACTGAGAGCAGAACCTGGTCAGTGTCAGTTTCAAAGTAGAGAATGTCAGTTTCCTTCTCTAGAGCAGGAGTTTGGTGTTGTGATGGGGCATTGAAGTTGCATTTGTGGGACAGTTTACGAAAGACTCAGCATAATCATCCATGCCAAAACAGGGGATGCTGATGAAGAGTATGGGGGATATTAGATTCCCTAAGAGACTCCTTTTTGATACAGATGCTGATGCATATTTGGTTTTAAACACTTTTTACTTTACATTTTTGATCCATCTGGGTCACATGTGAGTGCTTCTGCTGATATTTTTTGTAACTCTCATCAAACTCTTTATATCCAAAGCATATAAAATCATCTTCATTAAAAGGCATAGCATTGCCTTAAGGCAGAGAAGATACTTGCCTCACCTGTCAAAGGGGTTGTTGCAAAGATCAAAGGCTTTAGAAACCCAGAAGGCACAACGTAAAATGCAAAGATTTGTGTTAGTACTACTAGTGTGGGCAGAGAAAGAGTTTTCTGCTTAGTTTGGAAGTGAACTTGAAATCTGCACCTAGTACAATACAATAAATACTCGATACATACTCTTGAATGAATCCCTGACAAATTTTTTAAAATCAGAATTTTTACAACCTGATGTTGCCTTTCAGGGGTCACATTTTGAAAATCTCTCCATTTTGAAAATCTCTTATTAAAAAATAAATGACAATAGTTAAAATTACAGTGTATTTTAAATGTTCACATTTAACAAATTAAGACCTTTATTACCCACAAAAACAGAATGATCATCATTATTTAGAGATAATGTCAGTAGTCTAAATGTTGGTCCTTAGTAAGTGCGAGGCCTGGGATAAAGACATCTCCACTCTCTCCCCCATGTCTGAGGTTCTGGCCGCTCTATTAGATAAATGTTTATTTTCATGTCACACTTGGAGAATGGCTATTCTTTGAGAATTTTTCAGATGTTGTGCAGTAGACAGAAGTAGTCAGAATCCTAGAAATGAGCAAAGACACTTGATCTTACCAGTTCTCAAATTACAAACCGGCTCTTAAATCAACAAAGTTCTCTGCCCGTCCCGGAGGTACTAGAAAGTTTCCTCATGAAGATTTGGAAGCAAAGCCAAGAGTGCCCTCTTATGGCAAATGAAAAAAATAACTTCGTCCTCAGTTACTTCATTTGGTGTCTTTGCCCACATCATATAAACACAGTATCTTAGACTTCTAAATTGGCAGAATATTGCCTTCTCCTTGCCCTAGAGATCTGTGGAAATCCTTGCAATCTGCTCAGTAGAACATATATCAAACCCAGTTGAAAAGAACAGAGTGAAAACTCCTACAAATTTGTTACAGGACTCCTTGAGGCACAAGCCTTGACCGGTTCTACACTCTCGGCCAACAGTGAAACAAAACTACATTACAGCAGCTTAAGTTATAAATATATTTAAAAAATAATAATGTAAAGAGCCTACACAGCTGGTCGGGATCAAGAGGCCACCAACAAAGGCAAGTGTACAATGTAACCCAACTTCAGCAAGAACAGCAGTGCGACATCTCCACCTCTAGATTGGCCCATGTACTGAAGTGATGTCCCCATAGAAAAGTTTGGAAAGGAGGTGAAAGAAACACACTCTGATAAAAGGTGGGCTCTATAGAATGAAACCCCTGATCATTCCTACAGTCTGGTGTGTGAGACCTTTAACGACAAGTTCTCTTGAGCATCTATGGGAGCTTCCATGGCAGCAACCAAAGCAAGAGAAACCAAGTCACCTATGGCACTGAAGCCATTCTCCAGTGAGCATTCTCTCACTTCTGGTAGAAAACAATAAAACCACCACTTGCTGACCCTTTTCCCCATTGGCCAAAGGAAAAAGAAGTGTTCTTTTGGGGGTGGGGGGTACATAAAGCCAGCAAGGAAAGTGGCAGCCTCCTCGGGATGTATATCCTTTGCACCCAGTACAATTTTACTCATTTCTGTGGTTGCAGTGAAAAAAAACAAACAAACAAACAAAAAACAGATTTTACCTGTGCATCTAATTTCATTTAAATGACAAAAGTCTTATCATTTTTCACACATTTTGTCAGTCCATGTATATTTGCTGACCATATTCTAAGTTTTTGTGTTAGATGCTCAGTATACAAAAATGAGTAAGATATATCTTCTGCCCTCAGGCTCAGAGAGCGGTGGGAGAGATCACATGAGACCCCCAAACCTAGATTTGGGGATCCTATGGTGTGACTTGACTCTGTCAGCTTTCGCTGCTCTGTTTGTTCAAGGAGGGAGTTGGATGGACAGTTCTTGAATTCATGGTCCTGCCTACAAACGGCCACTACATGCAGATGGGGTTAGTCACTGCTTAGTCACCACTCAGTGAACCCTGCAGGATAAGGCTGAAGGCCAGTGTTTCCAAAACATCCCCCAGCCTTCCTTCAGATTGAAACCATTCTCTGCTCCCCTTAGGAGAAGATCAAAAGTTCAAGGGCAGTAGCTATAGGGTTTACAAGGAATAAAGAAAGAAAAGCTGAAAGAGAAAGGAAGTAGAGAATGGCTGTTAAATAAGGGAGAACACACACATACACACAATGCTTCAAGCCTATGAGGCTCACTGAGTTTTATTGAAAAGTTGAAATGAAACTTTTTAAAAGTTACAAAGAAGTATTATGCTGTCGTTGAGTATTAGCCAAGACAAAATATTGTTTATTATTGCAGCTAAAGTAACTATATCAGAAAAACATATCAAATGTCATTCTGTCCATCTGACAGTATTATAAGGAAACAATGCCGTGAGAAAAGCAAGTGAATATGGGCTTCCTTACACAAGGATGCAAATCGAGAGTATTAGAAACATGGACACATACAAAACAAACAACAAAAAAAAAACAGTGATTTCCTGAGCTTTAATTTTAAAATATTCACATTCACATTTCTTTTGTGTGAAAATGAATTAGGACACTCCTCACCTGAGCTGCAGCAGCTGATTAAGAGAGCGCATTAATTTCAGGAAAAATAGTGGTATCATCTCTCCACAGGACTTTTCTTCTCAAACAAGTAGATTTATGGCTTGCCACAGAGTTGATGAATAGAGATGGCTGGATATATTAGTCTTCAAGCCATTTAAAATACAGTCGTTGTTTTTCAGTGAGTGGAATTTGGTTTTAAAGACTCCAGCAAATCATTTGGCTTCATCTGAGCGATTTAAAACATTTGCTAAATAACAGCTATCACAGACAGATTTGATCAAATTCATTATAGAATCTTCATAAGTGACACAGCTGGGATGTCACTGACTTTGACTCTGCACCTACTACATGAGAACTTGACCCCTAAATACATGGCCATTCCACTGGAGAGCCTTTTAAGGCAAAGAGATGAGAACTGGATACTTTTACACTGAGCATTTCTCCAGTCAGTGTCAAATTATAAACTAATGACCAACAAGGATTAAAAATTCCAACACATATGTCAGTGTGTCCTGTGTGGGGGTAAAAAAGCAATATAGTATATTTTAAAATTGTATGGTTAAACAGAATGGTTAATGACCTTCCACAGTCAGTGATATTTTTAAAAGACTTAAAGAAACTGCACTATGACTGAGACACTAGCTCCATATCTGGCCATGATTAAACAAAGAAAAAAAAGCGAGTACATTTCTAATCCTAACTGGAGAGATTCGGTCATCTTCAATGCCATAATTTTTTTGGATATAAAAATACAGAAGGCCTGGGAAAGAAAAACAAGCATTTTAGAGAAATTAAGCCAACAAATTTTAACATGATTCGATCCCCGACTTGATGGTAAATTTCTCCAGTCTGGTTTTCACTGATATTTCTTCATGAGATTCACCATTTCATCATAGAGCCGCCAAGGGGCATCCAAGCCCCAGATAAAGTCTAGATGCTCCCATTCTGGAAAATACTTGTGGTACACCAAGTTGGTAATCTGGGTCAGTAAGATACTGATGTCCTTGACATCAGCAAGCCAGTCATGACCCCCATTCCAGATGGTAGTTGGCACAAGCATGTCTTTCACATTGTAAGTGGGAGGGTGAGTCTAGAATAAAAATCCACAGAAAGCTTTGTTGTGGTTATTTTCATTTACAAAAACACAATCGACAATTAAACACAGTAGTTAATCTGATCTGAGAATAAAGACTAAATTTTGAAAATCACTCTTCAAATTATCATTATTAGAACAAAAAGAAACCAAACCCACAAAGAAAGAATACTAACTGTATATAGTAACACTCTAGGTACTGTGACAAGCCCATAATTCCCTGAGAGGACAGTGTTCTCCCAGGTAGTCAGTGCAAAGCAGCAGAGTCAAGTGGTTGGGCAGGGGCTTTGGGGTCCCTACCCTCCTACTTTCCTTCCCTGAGGGGAGTAACACAAGTCACAGAAGCTCTCTAAGCCTCGGTTTTTCCTCATCTTTAATAAGAAAAATAATCACAATTACGTCACAGGGATGTTGTGGAAGTAAGAAAAACATGAGCAAAGTACTTTATACTTTAGAGCACTTAGCACTCAAAAAATGGTAAATTTATTGGTATGTGGGAGAAAAGACTTAGGCAATGCGATTTGGTCAAGGATCTCCAGCTACCAGATCACAGACCTAGGTGAGTTTGTCTGACTCTAAAGTCTGTGTTCCCCATCACTATGAATGGCGGATGACAGTGACAGCTGTTACACAGAGCCTGGGAAAGGACAAAGAGGGGAGGCCCAGTCCACAACACTAACCGCAAAGCTTAGGTTGTTCTGGAACTGAGACACTATCTAGTTAACTCTCTCAAACATTTCCACGGCATCTGATCCCTGCCCGGATCCCGGGAACTCAGGCTGGCTTCCTTGATGAGTTAGTTTTTGGGGCCCATTTTAATTGTAAAGACTTTGAGGACTTTACCTGGTTGTAATGAAAATAATTCTTGGCACTGCTTCCCCAGTCAAAGGCTTGAAACTTTCCAAACTGAGAATTCTAAAAAGAAAATAATTAGGATAAAATTATCTGACACAGATGTTTGAGATAACATCACAGATTGCTAGAGTGAGCCACTCTTCAGATATCCATTTTATACCAATACCCAGTGTAATTTATAATAAATGGCATTATTTTGTTCTTCTTTACTAAATGACTCAGTTTCTCATTGTACGATTGGAAAGTAGCTTCTGCATGACACAATAAAGCAGCTACACACACATGCTGCAAATTATACTAGATCAATGGTTACACCTATTGGATAAACTTTATGCTGACATTTTTTTTACTGAAATTTAAATCTTAAGCTTTTTCAAAGAGTTAACTCTCTTATCTGGGAAAGAAATATATATATTATATATACTATTGGTTAATATATATTTATATGGATTAATAGGTTTGTATTATGATAATAAACATTATATATTCATATATTTATTAATGTAAACATATATTTATATTGGGATTAACATATTTATATATGCTTAAACATAATCTCCATATTTTCTATATATCCACTCTATTTGACTAGTTATATTATTTAATATTTTAATGATTTTATCGATTTAATGCTTTTTCCTCAGTACCAGCATCAACATAATCACCAAATTGTAGTGCACACCAGCACAATTCTAACTAGAACCATGAAATAACATTGTATATGAAATTTAAATTGATGCATATTTAGAAAGTATGGTATCAAAGTATGCACAAAAAGTCACTTATTTTTAAAATTTGAAAACATGTAAATTTATACCTCCTATGTTCCTAAATTAAAAATATGTCAAGAATGAACTCCAAAATTGGCAAGCTAAAAATGAATTGGAAACTGTTTAAGCTTTGGCTAGAGGGTGGCGTCTGGTAAAGAGGGAAAACCTAGACATTCTTTATGAGAACTGCTTATCTGTGAGGTTTCATTTCTTGTCAATTGCATAAAATTCTACTGTTTAATGTAATAAAAGACAGTGTGAGGTTATAAACTCCAGGAGATTGCTACAAGAGAAATATTTAGCATCTGCTTTTGCCATTGCAAAGAACAGATATTAAATATCTGAAGCATATTTAACAAGCAGAACAAAATATGGATTTACAGCACCTGTTAGTGCATCTGTGCTCGTACTCTAGCTGTCAGTGAAAATATATCAATGCAAGCTGTTCTGCCACTGTAGACAGACAGTTTATCACTTTCTCACATATGCCTTTCAGCATTTATATAAAACACCCAGAGTGAGTATGGAATATAAAGGAGAAACTTGCTTAGAGCCCATACTGAACTTTTAAATCTGACTTTTGTGCTCAGAGTCAGAGGATTTCAAACTACCTATTTGAAAGGGAATCTCAGAAGTAAGGAAATGTGAAGATGATTATTTATAGTAACAAAAACATGGAAATAAGCTAAAGTCCAATAATAGATATTTGTTTAAATACATTATGTTAGATCAGTGTACACAACAATATGCCACTTTCATAAATTATAAACATAATAAAAGAAAGAAAGAAAAAAACTGTTTATGAATAATGTTTGTAAATAACATTAAGTGGAAAAAAGTCAGGAAATTAAAGTGAGTTAGCTTTATGGTTACACTTAGGTGAATAATCATATGTGGATAAAGACAGGAAGAAATGCTTATAATATTATGATACTAAAATAGATGGTTTTTAAAGTGACATTTTAAAAATTATTTTTAGGTACTGAATGGTAATAAAAATGTAAAGTTTCAACCTTTCTACATCATAATAGGTATCAGAAGTCTTACAGATATGCCTACCCCTGACCACTAAGTCTACCTCTACACTGCACCCTAAGAAAATAATTTGTCTAAAAGGACAGATGTCTAATTTAAGAATATCTGTCCCACAACGTTTTACTATTGCATAGAAAGAAAGAAAGAAAAGAGAAAGAAAAGAAAAAGAAAGTGCTATCACAGTAAAAAATAAAGTAAGTAATAATAATTCAAGGAAAGGAAAACTATCCTTGGTTATAAAAGTTTTAAAATTTAGTTATTGATCTGGAAAGGTGTTTTTGATTGTGGCAGAGACTACTAATTGCTCCTCGGTGCTCATTCTTGCCTTCTTCCTTTTAGTAGTAGAATCCCTCAAACTTTCACTAAGCACATGGCTGCCAGGTGTGCTTCCTTCCTATTAGCTGGAACACAAACAGAGGCAACCCAGCTTCAACCAAGCAGAAGAGGACAGCAAGTCAGGGACAGCAGAGCTACAGTGTAGTGTGGAGGGAATTGTGACCCTGAGTGACTTCCGGGAGCAACCGTCATACCCGTTCCACTACAATCCTGTGCCACTGATGTCTGGACTGTATTTGTTATGAGAAAAACAAACTATTTATTTAGAGCCTGTGTTTTGGCCTCTAATTATATCTCTGATACAGCAACTTAGCCTATATCTAACAAACCTGCTGTTTAATTAAATAAAAAAGAAAGTTACCAAAACATGCATGCAGTTTGATCCTACTTTGGTAATGGAAACAATTATGCAAAAAAATTTATAAGATTACATCAGGAGAGTTTAGAACATGCCACCACAAAATATGCAGCTTTGGCCATATTGATTATTTTGAGTCAGAGACACCTGAAAAACAGCAGACACAAGGAAGGCACTCTGACCTTCCTTTTTCTTTGTAAAAGCAGATAAAATTCCCATGTGAAAGAAGCCATTCCTATACCAGGAGGAAGAAACATTCTTGTTACTAGAAAGGGGAGGCCACGAGAAATCTGCACAAAAAGACCTCATTAAAAAAATAGTATATCCTCATTTACTTTAGTTGCTCAGATTTATTTTAATTGCTTTTCCAAAACTGTTATTCTTTGTTCACCCTAGTATATAAGCACTTAGTCCTAGTCACTTCTTTGGGTCTCCATTTTTCTTGTGACGGCTACCATGTACATGTAACTAAAATTCATATGCTTTTTTCCTACTAATCTGTCATATGTCAGTCCCAGTAAGAAACCCGAAGAGGGGAAAGGAAAATTTTAAACTCCCCTACAATACCAAAATACTAATAGTCGTCATCCCTGGTGGTGGACATATGAGTGCTTTATTTTCTTCTTTGTACTCGCATATTTTTTTAAATTTCATAATGAATGTTATAGGTATAATAAAAATTATATTAAATGTCTTTTTACAATGTTTTAAAGAGCCTACCTAATGTACATTTTTTTTTAAGCAGTAGGTTTCAAACAATAAAGAACATCAGAATCAAATGAGGAACTTATTAAAATGCAGACTCCAAGGACATACCTCCAGGAATTTGAATTCTCCATAGGTCATGGGTAGGCCCAAGAACCTGCAGTTTTTTTAAAGCACCCTATAGTATTTCTGAACAACACTGTAACAATATATTAGAACCAGCCTTCTTCAAATAGGAGCAAGTACCTGGGCTCTGGGCAGGGCCAGTAAGGGTGCTAGAGATAGTATTAAGAGTCCTGGGGGACGTGGGGACGTTGGGACATTGGGGGCGGGGGAGAGGGCTGTCTCTGAAACTTGTCAGGTTTATAAGGAGAATAGGATTCGTAAACTAAATTTAAAAGCCCAGTAAAGAACTAGGTTTTAGAACTGATAAAAAAAATAAAAAAATAAAAATAAAAAAATCCGCTAGTTAAATATAATAAAAATCTGAATGTACTATGAATAAAATGGCCTAGAAGGGTACCTCCAAACCTCTACCACAGGAACCCCTAAACTTCACACCTGAATGGCAGCCCTCAGCCTACCATTGCCCAGGCCCTGAACACCTTTAGCAGAAGCCTCCCCCAGCAGGCACCACGGCAGCCTACACCAGCATGTCCCTCACAGGCAGAGAGTGGCAGCCCCTGGCCAACAGGCCAGAAGAGGGAGAATCAAGAAGATCCTATGAAATAGCTTGACAAGGGGGTGACACAGTGAGAGGAAAAGTACAGAACGCCTTCTGCAGTGAGTCTGGACTTCAGAAATGTGCATGAGGCACATTCCAATATGATTAGAACCTAAAACCAAAACAGTGTCCGAGAGCGGTACTCTGAACCTCAGCCCGCGGCCTTTGACCCCGGCCAGCTGCTGGCTAAAAGGAGCTGGAACAAGAGCAGAAGCCCGGATGGCAGTGATCCAAGAGCTCTACTGCAGACCCCACGCCCAGTGCAGGCCTGCCATACCGGGGCGTCAGCTAACACCGTCCTGTAACACACAACGGAGAAGTGTGACAGCCTCGGCTTCCGCACTCCCAAAGGCCTCTGAAAGGTGAGGTCCAGTGGTCATTTGCACTTTGCTGAGGCGTGTAGCATATGATACGTGGGCTGCTATGGGCGCTAAGCTGGTGGTAGCTCAGCATCTGCCTTCAACTGAGCTCTGCCATCTTCCACGCAAAAGTGCGGTGACAGAAACTGGGCCTTTTTGAAAAATATCCATTAGGTAAGGGTAAAAAATGCTCAAAAGGGTAGGGGTATTTTGGTGACAGGGTATACAAAGAAAACAAGTGACCATAAACAGAAATGTGGCTAAGGAGAAAAGCAGGGGCCTGAATTAACATTTGAGAATTTGAGGACTGTTGAAGGTTTCAGGACACTCCTTCAGAGTAAGGGCGTGCTCTTCAGTGTGTCCTGAACTACCTGTATCCCCTCGCCTAAGCCACAGGAAACTCTCGCAATGACTTGCTGACACTTAACACTGGGCCTTATATAGCCACTACAAAGGGCTAAAAGCCTCAGGCCCCATCCTGTCTGGTTCCCTAGGGAAGAGCCCATGGAGAGGCGAACCCCAGCCCTCCCAACAGACAAGGTTCCTGGGACAGCTGAGGAAGGGTACTAAAGCGCCAGTGATGTCCTGGATCAGTGGTTCCCAAAACCAGTTGGGCAGAAGAAGCTACTGGGCAGAATTTTTTAAAAATACAAATCCTAACCACTCAGCAACAAAAAGGAATAAACTACTAATGCACATGACAACATGGATAAATCTCAAAATAATTACACTGAATGAGAGAAGCCACGCAAAAGCGATATATACTATACACTTATATAAAACTCTAAAAAATGCGAACTAACCTATAGTGACAGGAAGCAGATCAGTGGTTGCTTGGGATGGAGGGGGAGGGGGTGAAGAGGGTGTTAAAAGAGAGTATGAGAAAACTTTGGGGGATGATACGTTCACTGTCTTGATTGTGGTGACCATTATGCGGGCATATACCTATGTCCAAACATACTAAATTATACACTTTGAATACCATATGTCACTTATACCTTGACAAAGTTGTTTTTAAAAAAATGAAAGTAGAGATTCTCCAGTACAAATGAATTAGAATCTCTAGGGATGAGACACAGGAGTCTTTGCTTTTAAAAGCCCGAATTATAGCCAATCCAGCAGCTCTGCCACAAACCCAACTCTCCTCACTTTTCTTAAACAATATTTTATTAAAAGGTGTACTTTTAAAGGCAACTCATGTGATTCTAATACAGGCAGTGACTGCTCAATGTTTGGAAATTGCTATCCAAGACACCCTTAACATCTTGGTTTGGAGCTTAAATGGTAAGTTATTTCACATTTAAAAAGAAGGGAGGGGGGAAATTGTACAAAAATAGGTCCTGAGGTGGAAATAAGTCCCTGACATATCGTTAGGTTTTTTAAAAAGCAAGTTATAAAAGACTAAGTAAAAGAAAATAAATTAATCTGTTTCTACGACTATTATTTCTCTCTCTACCTTTAATGACTTCTTTCTGAAATGACATGCCGCGAGAGGTAGAGAGTAGAACGCAGAGACATTTCAATCCCTGGGGACACAGTTTCTAAGTCTGTGTAGGATTACAGAATAATTTTATTTTTTAATCTTAAGAGAACTGTAATTATTTTTTTGCCTATGTGTAATTTCTAAATTTTCTAGAATGAATGAACACGCATTATTTTTGTGACATGTGATAAAACAACCAAACCCTATTTTAAAAGTTTGTGGCTCCCATTTAAATCCATGATTGGTTTAGCTCTGGTTTATCCACTGATGTCTCAGGCATATTATTCTCATGCGTTAATGTTGAAAGAGCACCTTCTCCAAAGCTACTCTAGAACCTTGTTTTATGAAGCAACACAGAAATAAAATAAATCTAGGACTCAATGAAAAACTGACAGAAGGCTGAGATGAGTCAACCGCCAGTAGCTGTTTGGTAAACTTACACACAGTACAATTTGTCCCAGGGGGGATAACAAAAGCAACACACACACAATGGCAGGAATCCAGGACTCTGGCAAAGGACACCAGTTCAAATTTTCACTCTCTGTTTGGGAAGAATTCACAGAGAGGTGCTTCACGAGATGCGCAGCTCTTTCTAATGCTGATTTGACACATACCCCAGCCGCCCTTCTGGAATGCCTACCTGCTTCCAGTGTATCATGTTTTGCACAGAAGTTCCTGCAGGAGAGTGTGTTATATACACAGATATTCTAGACTGCAAATACATTGAAATAAAGAATAAGAAAAGCATTAAAAAGGCATTGATAATAAACAAATTTTGCACTTCAAAGCATTAAAAACTACAGAGCCACATTTCAAACATATGAGATCGAGAGCAGGCAAAACATTCTTTGACTACAAATATGTCCTATAAAAATATGTACAACTACACACACAGAGAGAACATATGAAGTAAATATAGCAACACAGTAACTGTGGGATTGTCTGGGTTAAGATTACAGCTCATTTTTATTTTCTTCTTTATACTTTTCTAAATTTCCAAAATTTTATATAACAATCATAACTTACTTTTATCATCAGGAACAAGAAAAATTAATATCACTTTTTAAAAATTCCCTAGAGCATCCATTCCAGAATTTTAAAACTTGTTCTCAAAACACAACATTACAACTATAAATATATTTAGAAACACCAGCATATTGCTGGCGAAGGGTTTACATTTTACTAAGTAAATAAATGTGTGCATGTGTGCGTGTGCGTGTGGGTGTTTGTAAATGGCCATTTCAAGTTTAAACATACTTCATAATTTTTTAAAGAAATAAATCACTAGAACAAATATAAATATTGAGACTCAAGTTATGACACATCTCCTCATTCAATAGTTTCCACAGAGGTACAATGTAGCAGGCTGACAATGCCTCACCCAAGGATAGCACATTAGGTATTTCAGGCACCTCTTAAATGACAGCTCTGATGATGTCCTTCCTACTTCTCCCACATCCTCCAACACAAATAAGCACATTTACAGATAAAATGAAATCATGGGAAGTTTAAAGCAAGTCTTATTAAAAACATACATACCATATTTAAATTTCTCTCATTAAATCCACACAGAAGAAAAAAGATATTTTCACAAAGCTCCCTCAGGAGGACGTGATCGCAAACATTCATCGCCAGCCACTTTAAAACTGCATTCTGGGGAAAAAATTCTTTATTCCCAAATATGTCCTACAAACAGAAAGAAACCCAAGAATATCTCAGTATTTCATTCTGCTACACAAGCCTCCATGACCCACCTTAGAAGCAGAGACATGTGCCAAGCGTCTCCACAGATGGCCTCAGGAAAGAAATGGCGACCAGTGGGTGCTCTCACTAGGGGACTTACGCAATATGTTTGCTAAGGCAGAAGCAAATGTTACAGATGTATAAAGCCTCAAATGAAAAAAAGGAGGCAGAAAATCAAATAAATTGACAGCAGACTTTTACAGTGGGAAATGGCTTTCATGATCACTCAGCTCAGGGCCATCCCCAAAGAGTTTTATCTGACTTGGATGGATGGGTAGTGACTTCTGAGAAAGATTTGAAACTAGTTGGTCTGCAATGTGCCTACCTAGGACATATACATCTAATGCAATCCTATTGGCCAGTGGGCCAAATCCTGCCCAATGTCTACTGTTTTTTTTAATATTTTTTAAAATTGTGGTAGAACACACATAACACTGCTGAAATGTGTATTGAAATTTACTGCTGTCACCATTTTTAAGTGTTCAGTTCAGTGGCATTAAGTACATTCACCCTGTTGTGCAACCATCGCCACCATCCATCTCCAGAACTCTCTTAACATCTCGAACTGAAACTCTGTCCCCTTAAACAATAACTCTGTTCCTCCTCTGCCACCGCTGCCTATTTTTACAAATAAAGTATATTAAAACACAGTCACACTCATTTCTTTACACATTGTATACTATATCCTCAAGGCAGATCTTCACATACTGGTGAAACAGGAAAGAGGAAAAAGATCTTCCTTATATTGAATATAAATTTGCCCCCT